GGGGAAAGTGTTATGTTTGTCGAGCAGCCTATATTCGCATCGTTAATATCTACACACTTCCAATTAAGATTTCCAAGTACAGGAGTTCGCCCAAGAGTCGGGAGTCCTCTCACCACCTATGCTTTTAATTGCCTCTTGAATATTAAAGGGTTAAATGAAATAGGTAGCTATACTACTTTTGTTCACCTCCTGCCAGGTGGTTTGAGATGATGATGCATGCACCTGTCCGGCGCCTTTCTAATAAACTCCTGTGCGTCTTAGTATCCTGGTATCGTTACTGCGACCAAACTCCGTGCATATTTGCAGCATCTTCACTTTCTTGTTTTCAGGTTTTGTCTATCTGCTGCTTCAGCTTTGCCTGAAAATGCAGGCGGTGGTGGAGCAGGAACGGAAGCAACTACGAATATGGATGCCGATCAGAAGGACCAGGAAGTGCCGGAACCAGCGCCAGTTCATGCCATTGAGGTCCCTGCAGTTCAAGTGAGTAACTGATCGTTATTTTGAAGTTTTCAAAGGCCTTGCTTCCTGTGAACGTGTAAAAGTTTTATGTGTAGGTTCCGATAAGCATAGATGCCGCTTTTTATTATCCTTAAGCTTGTACCAAACGTTTTGCATTAAAAATTGGAAAACTGGACTCGGAACTATATTTTATTTATATTTATGTGCATAATTAAATTTTTTTGATTTATTTATGGCTCTTTCACTTTTCTTATGTATTCTTTAAAGTGAACTGGAACGGATCAAATCGATCTGAAAGATTTTTCGCAGAACTAAGGAAAGAATTGTAGGTTAAAAGGATGTGAGGGCGGGGGGGAGGGGTGGAGGGTGGACGACGAAAACACTTCTGCACTTCTCTTTCGCTGTTTTCTCCACTTAACAAATAAACCACAATTGTTAATTACTGAAGTACCAATTTGTCACTAACAGAATTGCCGTTTTTTTCAGTAGCATGTTTTTCTGTTCAGTTGTAGGCACATGACTGAAAAAAAAAAAAGAATTTTTCAGCAGCTAAAGGAAGGTTCAGTGAAGAAAGGGCAGAAGCGTCAGGCGTCACCCGATTGTGATGGAGGTGCATGTGTGCACAGTTTCAAGTTTTTATTGGGAATTTAATACTTTTTTTTGCATTTTGAGACTGAAATTTGTGTGTAAGCGTGTGTGTGTGTGTGTGTATGTGTGTGTGTGCAGGTGTTTGAACGTATGTGTATGCGCGCGGATGTGTGTGTGTGTGTGTGTGTGTGTGTTTGGATTTGTGTATTGGACGGGAGAAGGGAGAGGAATGGGGAGCTTTTTTTGTTTTCTGAGGGCACCAGATTGCCAATCCTTTTTTGGGAGAAATTGAGAGAGGGAAAAAGAGGGCTTTTTTTCCATTCGGTATTGCAAGGAAACAAAATTTATTTCCGTAATAAACGTGAACGATGGTTGCATTTCTTAGGCTGAATGCCACAGTTTAATGGAGGGATTGAACTACCACTATTTATATTTTTATTGGGTACAAGAACTTTCAAAGATTCTGAGTAACCGGGTTTTATTTCCGGTTAACGTAGACTTGTACACAAATTTTTGTAATTGTGCATGGTGCACACAGAGTAACTGCGCTACAATTAATTCAGTTTTCTGCTTTTTCTTACCTTTATAATTCTCTTCCTTCCTCCCTCTCCCCCATCCTCTTTTTATAATCGCACTCCCCAGACCTCTAACTAGCTCTTAGTAATCCGTGATGAGTTCCATCGATATGCGTAGTGAATCACGTAAAGTGGGTTTTGATTTCTTCCAAATGTTCACAATGAATTTTCGCGAGAACTTGCGCAAGGATCATTGGGTGGCTTGAACAGCCTTTACTTAGAATCCGAAACGGCTATTGGTCCACCGTTGGAAAGCTCTCCGGTGATGTAGTCGACAGCCATGCCATTTCCTTTCTGCACTTCGTAGTTATTTTGTCCAGTACTGTCTGGCCTGATGGTCAGCCGTCTGGCGATTATGACGTTCTTTTTATTTCCTGAAAGATTTAGCTGCCTTAGTGGATTTCCCAACTGAAGCATTTTGACAAGGTTTGTGCTGAGCATCATAATTTTGTCTCCAAAAGTTGCCACTTTCTGACCATTTTGGGGTAATTTGCCCTCTGGGTCGGGCACAATAATTTTGGGGATTCCGCGGTTGTTTCCGAAAGGGCAAGAGATTGATTATTCATGTTAGGATTTGATTT